TGAAAACCACCCAGGGGGTTACACGCCATACTCACCTTGTTTTCGTGCGCGTGAGGGGCTAGAAGGAGAAAGGGCTAGTCAGCCCCAAATTATCTAGAGTTTCCACACTAGAAACAGTCGACCGTCAACTGATGAGCCCTTTGAAATGCACAACTCAAAATGGCAACTCGCTCTCGTCGAGAGGTCTGAGACCCTAGTTTTGATAATGTTCGCTTGTTTAGAGCAACCAACTTTTCGACCGTCAAGTTCGACCATGTCTACCGTGTGCCTCAAAGCAGGCTGAGATGGGTGACGGACGTTCGAATTAGCTCATGGTGATGGTAGATTTGCGCAATTGCCCAAGCAAAAAGCAGACTCAAGGCTCTAGCCTGACGTGGCTAAGCAAAGATCCCTGTTCATGAAACCGTTAGTTTTTTGTTTTAAACGTCTGACTACTTAACGACCTGTCGAGTGCTGAGCTTAACAGCGAAAGAAGGTTGCGACTGAATCAGACCTAGACAGGAGATCAGGCGTGTGATCGCCCAGCAGGTTCATTGGGTGATATGCCCAGACAGAGGCTTTACGTTTGTTTAACTTGACAGGGGTATGTAATCCCAAAGAGTAAAGAGAAGCCAACCGTAGCCTTGCTTGTAATGGGTAACCCTAGACCCAAACTTAGACGCTAACCCTGAAAACCTGACCTTAATTCCCAATCTTGGCTCTAACCCCGAACGCAAACCGTCAAATAAGCCTGACAAACCTGCCTCCTAAAATAGCCCAACTCCTAGCACTCACTCTTATCCTATCCCTGACTCCGATAAGGGCAGATTAAATACGGTAGATGGGCTAATTCATGTAATGTCGAACGAAATTCCAAAGTGCGTTTTCGCTCCAAAAAGGTTAATTAAGAAGGGTTGTAAATTTAATCAGCCTGCAACATACTCCTATAATAATTCAGTTACCTAAGTACACCGGCTTTCCAACGAACTTCTTTCCGCCTGCATGCAAAACCATACTCTGCAAAAATAAGTACTTAGACAGCACGAATTTTTTTTAGCGATTTTTGATGCCCCTAAAAATTCAATTATATTTCACGGAAAACTTGCATAAAATATTCATTGTTTTACTCATTCGGTAGAAAATCACGTCTTCTTCCAATTTTTTAATCGAAGGAAGGACATAATTCGCTTTTCGAAAACTTTTCCAATTCCCGAATAATTGGGAATCTCGACCTGCCGTTACACGTGCATCCATGGTTTCCCAACTACACACCATATATTTTCCGTGTACGGAAAACCGTATATTGTTCGACGGTATTAATAGAAGACTATGTGGAATTCATAAAATGAAGCGGTGGGTTTGATCCATATCGTTAACTTTGCAAGCCGCACTGATAAATGCAGAGATATGACGTTTTATGAACGGCTACTTCGCGGTATTAAAAAATCTCACAATTACAAACATTTTTAAAACCGAATTATAACCTTCCTTCCTGTCTGTGGATGTTCTTCAAACGTATGTCAAGCCTCGGATAGATTGTAAGTCCAGACGACAATGTGGTCTTCTAGCAGAAAGGTGCACCTACACATACGTCATGAAAGACACGGAAATTGTTGGAAAATCGCATGCCTTATTTCTGGTCCAGGGATATGTGGCCAACATTCCCACCTGACTTTACTCCCCATGACTACAGCATCCATTACTATAAACCAGTTCTCGCGCCCGCCACCGTCACTGCTTTTAGCTTACTGTGGAGAACACGGTGGGCATAGTCGAAATCAACGGTCGTAGTGGGTGACATGCTTTGTAAAACATTGCTTCAAACTTTGAAGTACGATTTCAGTAGGTGGGCTTACTCATGAAATGTCAAACGAACTCCCGAAATGCGTTTTCGTATCGAAAAGATTAATTAGGAAAGGTTGTAAAAATAGTCAGCCTGCAACATAATTCTACAATATTTCAGCTACCTCAGGTTGCCGCCTTTCGAAGGAACTTCCTTTCGGCTGCATGCAAAAACCACATCCTGTAAAAAATGACCACTTAAGTAGCGTACATTTTTCTTATTGATTCCCGATGTCCCTAAAAGTCCAATTATATTTCATGGAAAGCGTGCATAAAAATATTCGTTCCTTTGCTCATTTAGTAGAAAATTACGCCTTCTTCTAATTTTATACTTGGAGGTAGGATTTAATTCGGTTTTGAAAAAGTTTGTGATTGGGAGATTTTTTAATACCTTGAAGTGACCGTTCATAAAACGTCATGTCTATGCAATTATCAATGCAACTTACAAAGTTAACAATATGGATCAAATTCACTGTTAAATTTTATGAACCCTATACTGTCCTCTTTTATTACCGTAAAGAAACGTGTTGTTTTACCTACGCGGAAAATATACGGCTTGTAGTTTGCAAACTTTGACTCCAAGCGCCATGGTAGAACGAGTTCAAAATTATTCGGAAGTTGTAAACGTTTTCGAAAGCCGTATTATATATTTCCTTCGAGCATAAGATTGAAAGAAGACGCAATTTTGTACTAAAGAAACAAATGAATGGGTATTTTTATGTATCCTTTCCATGAAATATTATTGAACTTTATGAGCGTCGAAAATCAATGAGACAAATGCATGCTAATTAAGTAGTCATTTATTACAGAGTGTAGTTTTTGCAAACAGCCGGAAGGAAGTTCATTCGAAAGCCGGCATCCTGAGGTAGCTGATATATTATTTTAAAGCATGTTTTCAAATTCTCAAGTGACGTTGAACTCTGCCTTTTTTGCATTCGAGTTAGCGATTTCCAAACTAGATACTATGCACTTTCAGGTTAGGAAAAGTCTTTCATTCCTCTAAGTTATAAATATGGCTGGCAAAGAAGTTCCTCAACTGGAAACTAGTCCGAACCGTTTCAGAATTATAAAGCCACTCAGAACAAGTCGGTTTTTGTAATAAATGTAAGTAGGAACGAGGTTTTTTCAAAAAAAACTTTAATTACGCAATCAGCATGGTTAGCCAAAAGACTACCCTCTCACCATATGTATCAGAATTTTCGCGTTTGGGTTAGGGATGTGGAGTCTCATTCAGGTTGAAACGGTTATATCTAACAATCAATAAAATAGCGTCGGTTCAGTGAATAGGATTCGTTAACCGATTTGCTTTGACTCTCTTAAACTGTAACCGTTTTCCACCTTCTTTGAACACCAAGCGATGTGGTTTCTTATGTACATGAATACCTAATTATGTTTAATGATAATCCGGTTTAGTAACCTATCTTTTTGCGGAAAACGTATATTATAATGCTCGGGTATGTGTTCCATGAATTTCTTCCGATCCGATTGACGTCATAGGACTGACAAACTGAGGCTTCTGATTTTTGGGTGGTCGTAAACACTTTCTTAACTCTCGTTTATTCGCTCCGCCAAACACAACAATAACACTAACAAGTGATGCAGGAATTTGCTACTGAAAATTCGCACCTTGCTCTGGCGGATTAAAAGAGGACCAAATAGTGGCACTTTACCCAGAAACTTGAATTTGCCAGAGGCTGTTTCTCCTCTCCAGCAACATCAGAGGGGTGCCACCATTTTTGAGAAAAATAAAAAAGCCTCCTAAAGAGAGAGGGAGAAGATGCTCTCTTTCTTTCGAATGTTGCTGCAGTGAATTAGCTAAAACGCCTAAGCATTAGTCGTTTACACCGGAGGAGCTTGGCTGGAAGCGAAAACAGGTCCTTCAAAAAGGCAAAGTCATTCAGTCGAAACTAAAGACACTTCTGCTGAAGACCGTTGCTCGGTTGACATCTGGGCTAACAGACATACGCTGCCATGCGTTGTTTTGATGAGAGCAAGGGACACACCTTTTAAAGTTGCGCACACATCTCTTCATTTGAGCGAAAAGGAAACACGACGGAAAAATGGGCTACGTGGCATCCGATAAAAATGCAGAACTGAGTACTGGATTTGCAAAACAATGAGACACGGGGCAGGCCTCAGAGGGGGGCTTCAGCTTGATAGCCACTCAGTTTCACAAACATTTATCCGTTCTCACAATGGTGAAATTGGGAAAAGAAAGCGAAGACGGCCCCATGGTCGGGAGATACAAGTTAATGTACATAAAAGGTTAACTGAAATCTTGAATTGTGTTTCGATTAGAAAAGATTACTTGTCTGGGGATTTGATATCGAATATCGTGCAAATTAATTCTAATATATTCCAGTCAAATCAAGATGGTGACTTTTGAATGGGCTCCTTTGCGGCCGTTAAAGATGGCTGCTTATGTATTCTACGTCTTTTCCTGTTGAGTGCAGTTTCAAAGCTACATGTTATCTGTTGCCCATGTAAGGAAAGTTATAGATTCCTTTACACTTTTAAAGATGTCGTATGGGACCCGTAAAATTTTACAATGAGTGTAAACTCTCCCGTATACTTCTCAGACAGTATTAATAATCGGGCGGGTATGATACCGTATAAATGGAAGTTTCACGGTTCCAAAACATTTCGAATTAACTAACTCCTTTAGCTCATAGAATAGCATTTCTTTTCGCATGTAATTTGAAGACGATGTGATTTGCCAACCAACTACCGCAGCCACCTTATCCTTCGTGCCATCAATGTGGCGGATGTCGGTGGTGAATTGGGAGATGTAGTCCAGGTGGGCCATTTCCCCCGGACTGTACTTGTCGGAGTGGAACCAAAATGCAAAAGTCAGCGGTTTGTGGCCCGTGAAAACAGTGAAGGCCCAACCTTCAAGGAAATGTCGGAAACGCTTCACAGCAATGTATGTGGCAAGTAGTTCACAGTCAAAAGGTACTGTAGCGTGTCTTAGCTGGAAAGAGCTTTTTGGAGAAAAAAGGCAGGTGATCGAGTCAAACCAGCAAGTTGTTGTTGAAAAACTGCACCTATGGCTACGGTCAAAGCATCTACCATCAGAGACAGCTGAGCTTCGGAAGCGGGATGCATAAAGTGGCGTCGGTAAGGGAATTCTTGATTCTCTCAGAAGCAGTCAATGCTTCACCAGTCAGCTCGAGGGGGCCTTAGGGACCAGAAAGCATGTTGGTGAGCGACAGCATGAGGTCAGCACAGTTCGGTAGGAACCGGCGGTAAAAAGTGACCATGCAGAGGAATCGCTGCAACTGACGCTTGGAAGTTGGTGGAGGGAAATCACGAATTGCTTCAGCCTTGGAGGGGAGAGGACGCAAAAGTTCATAGTCGACATGATGGCCGAGGAACTCGAGCGAAGGCCCACCCAACACGCACTTGGAGGGGTTAATGATGACGCCAAACTTGTCAGGGCGGTCAAACACCAAGGCAAGATGCTCTCTGTCTTCCTCCTCATTCCGGCTGGCCAGAAAAAGGTCATCAATTTAGGCGTACACAAAGGGTAGGCAACGTAAGACATGGTTGATGAACCTCTGGAACGTTTGGGCGGCATTACGAAGACCAAACGGCATGTGGATGAATTCGAAGTGACCAAAGGGTGTGGTGATGGCAGTTTTGGGGATGTCCTCAGGGGCGACCGAAATCTGATGAAAAGCACGCACCAGATCAATCTTCGAGAAAACCGCTTTGCCGAAAAGGGCTCCAGCAAAGTCTTGAAGATGGGGTACGGGGTTCCGATCAGGAATGGTGGCGCTGTTGAGGGCACGATAGTCGCCACAGGGTCTCCAGTCACCTGATGTCACCTTGGGCACCATGTGCAGTGGGGACTCCTGAGGGCTATCGGGCGGTTGAACTATGCCCAGTTGCAGCATGTGTTCAAACTCCGCCTTCGAGGCCTGGAAACGCTCAGGTGCTAGTCCTCTCGGCCGACCAAACACAGAAGGACCTGACGACAAATGCATGGCTCATCTGAGTGCCTGGCTTCAAGAGATTCTCGGCCCTTTTTGGTGGGGCAGACGCCGGCGATACGAGTCTTGTCCCGTACAAACGCATGCTCGATACCTAGTGTGCGCATAGTCATTTGAAATAGGTGGTCCTGCCTCTTGACAACTAAATGGTGTTCGC